TCCAGCTGGGCCGTCAACTACCAGCCCGCCAAGTACTCCCGCGCTCTGGCCTCCCAGCTCGGCTGCCCCTTCCCGTCAGACACCGCGGCCCTGGTCACCTAGGACCTAGGACCCTTTTCTCCTTACTTCCGGGTCACTTCCTCGGTACTTCCGGGTCACTTCCGCCGTATTTCCTGTTCCAGAACCTTTCACTCATTTTCGGGTCATTTCCGGGTCATTTCCGCCTTACTTCCCGGTCACTTCCGGCTCACTTCCGGGTCACTTCCGCTGCACTTCCTGTTCCAGAACCTTCCCTTGCTCTTTTCACTCACTCAGGATAGTTTTTCTCTCACTTCCGGGTCACTTCCGCCCTACTTCCGAGTCCACTTCCGCCTCACTTTCGGTTCCAGAACCCTCTTTTGTCCTCCTGAGTCACCTAGGACCCTTTTCTCCTTACTTTCGGGTCACTTCCGCCCTACTTCCGGGTCACTTCCGCCTCACTTCCGGGTCACTTCTGCCCCATTTCCTGTTCCAGAACCTTCCCTTGCTCTATTGATTCGGGACCCTTTTTCACACACTTCCGGGTCACTTCCGGGTGCACTTCCGCCTTATTTCCAGGTCACTTCCGCCTCATTTCCTGTTCTAGGACCCTTAATTGTCCTGTAGAGTCACGTAGGACCATTTTTTCCCTTTCTTCCGGGTCACTTCCGCCTCACTTGCGCCTCACTTCCGCCTCGTTTCCGGTTGTAGAACGTTCCCTTGATCTCAAAATCCATTGAGGACCCTTATTTTCGTTACTTCCGGGTCATTTCCGGGTCCACTTCCGCCTTACTTCCGGGTCACTTCCGTCTCATTTCCTGTTCTAGAAGCCTTATTTGTCCTCTAGAGTCACGTAGGACCATTATTTCCCTTATTTCCTGGTCACTTCCGGCTTACTTCCGGGTCACTTCCGCCTTATTTCCGCTTCGTTTCCGCTTGTAGAACGTTCCCTTGATGTCAAAATCCATTCAGGACCCTTATTTCCGTTACTTCCGGGTCACTTCCGGGTCCACTTCCGCCTCGTTTCCGGTTCTAGAACGTTCCCTTGATCTCAAAATCCATCCAGGACCCTCATTTCCGTCACTTCCGGGTCACTTCCGCCTCACTTCCGGGTCACTTCCGCTGCACTTCCTGTTCCAGAACCTTCCCTTGTTCCTTTCAGTCACCCAGGACCGTTTTTCACTCACTTCCGGGTCATTTCCGGGTCATTTCCGCCTTACTTCCGGGTCCACTTCCGGGTCACTTCCGCCTCCACTTCCTCCCCTTTACGACTGTTCCAGAAGGCCATCATCCAGAGCGGCACCGCCCTCTCCAGCTGGGCCGTCAACTACCAGCCCGCCAAGTACTCCCGCGCTCTGGCCTCCTAGCTCGGCTGCCCCTTCCCGTCAGACACCGCGGCCCTGGTCACCTAGGACCTAGGACCGTTTTCTCCTTACTTCCGAGTCACTTCCTCCGTACTTCCGGGTCACTTCCGCCTTATTTCCTGTTGCAGAACGTTCCCTTGTTCTTTTCCGTCACTCAGGACCCTTTTTCACACACTTCCGGGTCACTTCCGGGTGCACTTCCGCCTTATTTCCGGGTCACTTCCGCCTCGTTTCCTGTTCTAGAACCCTTATTTGTCCTCTAGAGTCACATAGGACCATTTTTTCCCTTACTTCCGGGTCACTTCCGCCTCACTTCCGCCTCGTTTCCGGTTCTACAACGTTGCCTTGATCTCAAAATCCATTGAGGACCCTTATTTCCGTTACTTCCGGGTCATTTCCGGGTCCACTTCCTCCTTACTTCCAGGTCACTTCCGCCTCATTTCCGCGTCTAGAACCTTCGTTTGGTGTGTAGACTTGTTCCGAACCCTTTTTCCCGTCACTTCCGCCCTACTTCCGGGTCACTTCCTCCGTACTTCCGGGTCACTTCCGCCCTATTTCCTGTTCCAGAACGTTCCCTTGTTCTTTTCCGTCACCCAGGACTCTTTTTCACACACTTCCGGGTCACTTCCGGGTGCACTTCCGCCTTATTTCCGGGTGCACTTCCGCCTCATTTCCTGTTCTAGAACTCTTATTTGTCCTCTAGAGTCACGTAGGACCATTATTTCCCTTACTTCCGGGTCACTTCCGCCTCACTTCCGCCTCACTTCCGCCTCGTTTCCGGTTCTAGAACGTTCCCTTGATCTCAAAATCCATCCAGGACTCTCATTTCCGTCACTTCCGGGTCACTTCCGCCTCACTTCCGGGTCACTTCCGCTGCACTTCCTGTTCCAGAACCTTCCCTTGTTCCTTTCAGTCACCCAGGACCGTTTTTCACTCACTTCCGCCTCATTTCCTGTTCTAGGACTCTTATTTGTCCTCTAGTCATGTAGGACCATTATTTCCCTTACTTCCGGGTCACTTCCGGGTCACTTCCGCCTTATTTCCGCTTCGTTTCCGCTTGTAGAACGTTCCCTTGATGTCAAAATCCATTCAGGACCCTTATTTCCGTTACTTCCGGGTCACTTCCGGGTCCACTTCCGCCTTACTTCCGCCTAGTTTCCGGTTCTAGAACGTTCCCTTGATCTCAAAATCCATCCAGGGCCCTTATTTCCGTTACTTCCGGGTCACTTCCGCCTCACTTCCGGGTCACTTCCGCTGCACTTCCTGTTCCAGAACCTTCCCTTGCTCTTTTCACTCACCCAGCATCGTTTTCACACACTTCCGGGTCACTTCCGGGTGCACTTCCGCCTTATTTCCGGGTCACTTCCGCCTCGTTTCCTGTTCTAGAACCCTTATTTGTTCTCTAGAGTCACGTAGGACCATTATTTCCCTTACTTCCGGGTCACTTCCGCCTCACTTCCGGGTCACTTCCGCTGCACTTCCTGTTCCAGAACCTTCCCTTGCTCTTTTCACTCACTCAGGATCGTTTTTCACTCACTTCCGGGTCACTTCCGCCCTACTTCCGGGTCCACTTCCGCCTTTGACCGTTACTTCCTCCCCAGGACTGTTCCAGAAGGCCATCATCCAGAGCGGCACCGCCCTCTCCAGCTGGGCCGTCAACTACCAGCCCGCCAAGTACTCCCGCGCTCTGGCCTCCCAGCTCGGCTGCCCCTTCCCGTCAGACACCGCGGCCCTGGTGTCCTGCCTGCGCCTGAAAACCCCCCAGGAGTTGACGCACCAGGTCGTGACCCCGGCCACGTACCACGTCGCCTTCGGGCCTGTGATCGACGGTGACGTCATCCCCGACGACCCCCAGATCCTGATGGAGCAGGGCGAGTTCCTCAACTATGACATCATGCTGGGCGTCAACCAGGGGGAGGGACTTGGGTTTGTGGAGGGTTTGATTGACGTCCTGGAGGAAGGGGTGAGCACTTCCGCCTTTGAGACGTCCATTTCCGCCTTCGTGGACCACCTCTATGGCTACCCAGAGGGGAAGCAGGCCTTGAGGGA